TGAGAAGGAGATGGTGGACTGAGAAGAGGAAGAAGAAGAACTCTCTCTCTTGTGTGCCAGGAACTGACCTGTGAAGATGGCGCTGTGCTGCAGGTACCTCGAAGACAAAGCTGGAGCAATGGCGCTGCAGGTAAGTCCCTCTGGCCTCCGCCCAATCTCTCTCTCTCTAGTACTACTCTAGCTATGGCGCCCAGCGCTGAAGACTACAACTAACGCTACTAGCGCCCAGCGCTGAAGACTACTGCTAATGCTACAACTACTCCTGCAGCGCTCCTCCAGAGTGCTGCTGCCGAATCCTGAAGACTACTGACTGTCTCCTGCCTGCCCGTGAAGTGCATGGGAAGTCCCTATGTACTACCTCGGCCTGCCTCCTGACTGCCTCCGACTGCTTGCAGTTGCAGGGCGGGCAGTCCAGGAGGCTGCTCTTGCCAAAGCCAAACTGAGCCAGGGCCTGGCGCTGCAGCTGTCGTGGGAACAGGCCAAAAATAGCCTGTTCCTAAAACCCTGGTTTGGTGCCTGAGTTTCAGGGCAGGCCGGTCTGATGAAAGACCGAAAATGGCCCTTCGTTTCAGGCTAAAAAGGCTACTGCCATTTTTAGTCTGAAACGACACAGGGTCTGTAGGCCGCTGTTTTTCAGGCTTTCGAGCTGAACAGACACGGGGCCTGTAGGCCCTGGTTTTCAGGCTTTCAGCCTGAATTTCAGGCTTTCAGCCTGAGGGACGCAGGGCCTGGAAAATGGCCCTCGTGTGCAGGCGCAGCATGTAACAGTACCGCTGACTCGTCGAAGTTGCACTCCACCACTTGCCCACTTGCCTTTGCCTAAACGTGAGACACTTTCAAAAGGCCACTTCCAGACCTTCCGGAAGTCTGTGGACTTGGCCTTTCGAGTGCTGTAGCAGCTACGACCTTGACCTCTCAGAACACCTTACAGCTACGACCTCTACAGAGTTGTGACCCCTACTCGACAGACCTACAGATCGAACCCCTACATCTACACAGACCTACGATAGACAACAACCAACTACCGAAACACAGGTCACAGGTTTAAACACTCGGGGGTCAACTCGATACGGAACATGGGTAAGGTGAGGTCTGGGGATCGAACTCTAGGGCCCGCATCTGTGCCTGCAGAAAGGTGAAAACCGTTTCACAAGGATCCACAAAGTGATGAAAAGAACTCGAATGGAGAATGCCGTGTCAGGGTGTCAGCAAAGCATCAACACGCAATGTACATCCAGATACATACGGAAATAGCACAATGTAGCGCAGCGGAAGACTCAATGATATGTCCTTACCTGTCAGATACTGACGTGACACCCCATCATGTACCACACATGTGAGAGAGGGAGGAGGGACCACATACATGGAAGAAAGGTCCTTCCTTGAACACGCGCATGGGGGAGATATCACAGATGAGAAGATGGGCGAGAGGCGAGACAAAGATGGTGAGGAGGGGAAAGACCGAGATTGCGATAGCGAAGTCCAAAAATAGTCTCCCAGCCGAATGTCCAATAAATGTCTGCCTCAAAAATGTCGAATCAGATCCTGGGCTGCATGCCCGATGTAACCTCTGCCTGTAATCTCTCTCTCTCTCTCTCTCTCTCTCTCTCTCTCTCTCTCTCTCTCTCTCTCTCT